AATGCCTTTGGAAATTGAGTCCCTAGTACTGGAATAGGCAGATTGTAGGGATTCAAATGTTTGTTGAATGAAAAATTGTGTCTTATTTTTCAGTTTTTCAAATCAAAATAGAAATGCTAAGCTGTGGTCAGAAAATAATCTTACCCTGATGGATACAATCTATTCATTATAATAATAAATGATGGATTCTTCTAGTACCCAGTTTATATATCACATTCTGACTTCATGGGACCCTGAGGCCACATATGGTAAAGACTCATTAGATTCATTCAACAAATATTTATTGAACAACCACTGTGTGTCAGGTTCTGTACCAGGCACTGGGGAGACAAAAATAAATAAGAATCCTGCCCACAAGGAGCTTACAGTCTAGCATAAGATCATACAGCACCTCAGAACCTAGTGAGAAAACTTCCTGGGTGTCTAGTATATTATCTGGAATGCTCCAAATTTCCTGAAAATATGAATCTAAAATTTACCAGAAAGTACAGTTTGTAAATGGAAGATATAGTAATATTTAAAAGAAAATGTAAACATTTACTTTTTATAGTAAATACCATGGAATCTGAATAAGGATGGAATTTAGGAAAACTGAAAATATGTTGAAGAGTTTGGATCAGATTTAAATTTTTTAACTAAAAATGTTTTATTATCTCTGGGTGACATTTTATTATTATGGTGACGCTTTTATACGCATACATAGGAGGCTGTGCATATGATACGTGTTCCTTCAGGCTTCTGATACAACCCATATTTCTATAGTAGTTAATTCAGAACTAAAAACAGCATAAAGGTAAAAATCTGAGCCTTTTCTTTTGATAATAATTTCCATTATTATTTGAATGGGAGAAATTCTTAGGACATCATTTTAAATCATCTTTAGGATATAAATTTTGGTACAACCTTACTTTGCAATGAGACTAAATTGTGTCTTTGTAACAATGTGTGATCATTTGAGCTTGTAGTTTAATGGTTATGAACAAAGTTGATGGCATCACAAATATTGGACTATCTGAATTTGTCTTTTTTTTCCTTCCTGCACTCTTTCCCTCTATATGTTTTCAAAGCATGAAATACCTCAGTGCCTTGGTTGTGCTTTGCTGTGCTGTGGTACATTGTTTTTACTCCTTCATCTAGCAGTAGCCTAAGGTTGTCTTATTTTACCTAGTTCAACTGAAAAACCACCATCTGGATTTAAGTGGGAGCTTCTACCTCCCAATAGGTTGCTGTGAATTTACAAATGGTAAGCAACCAAAAGAGCTGTCTCAAAGGCAGTGTCCCTTCAGCCCTCACCGGGGACATCCTAACAACTTAGTCCTCTGAGGTCCCAGCTCACTATGGATAAACACAGCCCATTAGAAGGAAGTGGGAGCCTGCCACAAGCAGGGATGTTAGTAGTGTGGCATGAGACAAAACAAACCACTTAGCCTACATCAAAGCAAAGAACAAAAGAAAAACCAACAGCAATCTATGGCAAATGGTTGCACACACCTCAGGGCTGAATTACTTTATAGCAATCGATATGATTAATAATAACACACATTTGTTATAGCCCTTTACATTTTATAAAGTGTTTTTACATAAGGTAGAGCTCACTGGATATTTGTAATGACACATTATGAATACAATTTTACCTTTTATCATGAAAAAGTGAATTGTAACTGAGCATGCTGTTTAAGAAGGCAGGGAGGTATACTAACATCTGAAACACTTTCATCAAAAATAATTACAAGTTTTAAGTTTTGGCACTTAGAGATATGGAATAGGTATCAAAAAATTCATATATACGGTGTTGTTGTTTTTTTCATCACCAACCCAGGATGATACTGAATGAATTTTCACAGCACTCAATGGCTGCTGGTCATTAGATGGGATGATTGTCAGCAAGAAGTTATCAGACTATTTTTTTCTGTTAAACACAAGCTAACAGATACTTATGGCTGCCAGTACTGTATCTGATGACTAACATACGAAACAGTAAGCTTCTAAAAGGGTCTCAGAATGTTTTCCCTATATTGCACTTTCTAGAGAACAAAACTTTGACAATGGTTCTAGAATGAAACATAGGACACAGAAGTGGACACATGTGATTTACCTTTCTTGTTAATGTTTTCCTAAAATTTTTGGTATACACTTTCTCAGTGATATAACAGGGAGAAATGACAAAATGCACATACGCTTATGTGCTTTGGGGCTTCTGAGGGAGGAGACCACATACATTTTGAAAACTAAAATAGAGGTCTCTTCTGCTTTAGCCACTTCATCTTTACAACTGAAAATAAGGTACTGTATATTTGGCCTAACATTCAACATAGCATTGCCATAATATATCATTCTGTAGAAAGCTTTTAAAACCAAGAGAACAATTTATACTTAAAAAAAAGGCTTATTAATTAATCATGACTAAAAATGACTGAATAAAATGTAGAGTAAAAAACACCAGAGTAGACTTTACACTAAGTAAATAGGACCTTGAAATGGTAAAATACTATTTCCTTCATTAGTATAGTATTCATGATGCTCTTTGATTCTGGATTATCCCCTGACAATTTTCTGATCATGACCACACCTCCAGAAGGTAAATATTTTGCTGAGTTTGCTGGCTGTTAATTTTTTAATTCTCTTATTATGACTTATACAAGATTCTCCATCTTGCTTTACAGTTACTTATCCTGCTTGACATTTTTTAAGTTAGGAATGAGTACACTGTATGTATGCCTAGTAGTTTATAGTATTAATTTTCATGGAAACTGTCAATCTTCTAAATGTTCTTTTATAGTGCTGAAGGTAAATTGATTTTGTAATAAAGCACTTCCAGAAGGAGCTAAGCACACAAGAGGCCAATTTACCATTCTTTTCACACAAAAAGGCAAGATGGTAGAATAGAAAGCATAGATTTTGGACTCAAACAGAGCTGGGCTTGAGTCCCAGCGCTGCCACCTCTGTGATAAAGCAAGTCACTTAACCTTTTTGACCCTTTATTTCTTCCAAAGTTAACTGAGACTCATTCCATGTACCTTGTAGAGTTTTTGTGAGGGTTGGTAGTAAGGTATGTGCATTATTTGACACATGATAAGCACTCTGTAGTGATTAAAGAATTATTAGGTGATTGTTGATTTTGTTAAGTGCTGTTGAGTTGGTATAGAGTTTCTGAGTAGTGGCTGCTGGGTTTGAACTGCTGACCTGGTTAGCAGTTCAGTGCTTATCCTATAGTGTGAATTTAGAGTTGGGCAATATGTAGATCTAACATCTGACAGGAAACTCTTTCCAAAGGGGATGAAATTTATAGAACCTTCTTTTAAATATCAATAGTCATTGTACATAGTAGCTTATCTTAAATGATAAAATTGCCTTTTCCTCCAAAATTTTATTTTATCTTAAATATATGTTTTTTAAAAAAAGTTTACAGCAAGTTTATATTTTCACTCTGCTTTGTGGTAATTTTTTGATGGCTGAGAAATCCCCAATTATTTTTTACATCAGTGGAAAAACTGTTAATTAAAAAAAATCTATCCTAGAGCCAACATTGTTCCAAGTGAAATGTAACTTGCGTACACACGTGTACAAAAGGCTGTTCAGCAGGTCCTACGAAGCCTACAAAGAAATGTCATTTTCATTCATGTATTTGGGATGCTTAAAAATTTCTATAGGATTTAATGATACTTTGCTTCTTATGACTGAATAATTCTCAGCACCTATTCCTATCCTTCCTTTTTCAAGCTACTGGCCAGTTTAAAAGAATTCACAATAATACAGCTTAAAGAGAATATTCACAAGTTATTAACAGCCAACATAATACAGTAGAAATTGCCCTGAGCAAGGAAAATTAAGAGACTTCAAGTCCTGGCTCTACCACTAACTTTGCTCTCATTTGTCAAACAGTGGGATTAATTCCATTTTATTTTCTACCTCTAGAATTGCTTTCAATTATTTAAAAAAAAAAAAAAATCAAAACACCTTCTGGGAGTTGTGTTAAGCACCAGATGGGTTGTTAAGTATTTCCTGCCTTAAGGTAGTGTTTTTCAAACTGCAATCTAGGGACCATCTGAAGACAGACTATTTGGAGGTCTTATTTAAAAAAAACAGATTCCTGGAATCTCCCTTGCTGAATCGGAATTCCCTAAGATAGGGTTCAGGTTTCTGCATTTCTCACAAGGTCCTTAATGATTATTAAATAACACCCTAATGTTTGAGACTCACTTGGCCTAAGAGAATGTGATTTAAATGAGAAAGGTTTGAGTGTAGCTTAAATTATTCTAGCCACCGCAAATGTCTTCTAAACACAATGGCCAATCAATGTGGAGGGGACTAAAACAAACAGCTTACATCAGCAGATCAGTCAATCTTGTGCTTGACCCCTGCTTGATGATACATTTTACTTGCTGTGTTCCATAAGAAAACACACACACACAAATCTCCGTACCAGCATTTAGTCTTGACATCCATGGTAACTATGTTTACCACAGTTAAAGACTTCAGCTTGATACAAGGATTGCAGTTCTCTCTTCACAAACAGTAAGACAGTTGAGCTTGTGCACCTGGCTCAAGAAGAAAGAAGGGGAAAACACAACCTCTTTACTCAAGACTCCAATAGTTAAGAGGAGGCTTCAAAAAGTTCATGGAAAAATGGAATTTGAAAGATAATTGAATTTTTCCACAAACTTTTGGAAGCTCCAATCTTATATTATTCTGTGCAATTCAAATGATCTGGCAGAGGAAACAGAGAAGACCTAGCACACTGCTCTCAGCATTCTGTGACCAGACATTATACAAACCAATAAAAAGGTCCTCTTCTGTACAACAGAAATGACCAATGTCCATTTCTTCCCCTCCTTTTAAATGCTACTGATAGAAATAAAATACCAAGGCTGATAATGGTGGTGGTGGTTATGTGCCGTGGAGTCGGTTCCGGCTCATAGTGACCCTGTACAGGGTTTCCGAGGCTGTAAATCTTTACGGGAGCAGAAAGCCTCATCTTTCTCCCGCAGAACAGCTGATAATACAGCTTTTAAATTCATAGAAGTAAAGCAAATTACAAAAGGTGGCAATCTTTTTTCTAGAATTTCACAACAAACAAAATCCCTCTCATTATGAAAAGTGTGTATAAATGTAACAGGAAACCTAAAAGATATTTTGTTCCAACACTAACAGTTATAACATCATTGTCTGTGCTCATTATTGAAAAATAGCAACTTTAAAAGGTCAAGTGCATTGACAGTTAAAATGATATTTCTGTTTCAACAACCAATATGCCAACATCAAACTTCTAGGTTTTATTCCCTGCTGGTGTCACAGGTTCACAGGTTTTCCCTAACCCAACCAAAACACCTGCCAAATGCCCACAAAATTCACATAAAAAAAAAAAAAAAACATAAAAAAGGGAAAGAAATTTAAAAGAGGGAGAAATAAAGGAAAAAAGAAACTGACAAGCTATCATGCAAAATCAGCAGACGAATTTGGAATTCATAAGCACAAAGTCAGCAGGAGCAGAGGAATGCTGAAAAAGATGAGCTGCAGAGAACCTAAAACTTGGAGACGCCTGTGTAATGTTGGGCGCTCGAGAACTTGGGTCGCAGATGTGTTCATGGAACCTAAAGAGCCAGGGTCTTGATCCAAATTTATAAGCTCTTCTAAAAGACAGCACTTCACCTAAATTGAAGTGATTTATAAGTCAAACACCAGAAGAGTTCCTTATTTGATGTAAGTTGTGCCTAAAACTTTGGCTGATACAAAGACACCCGCCCACTAAGGCACCCTGAGGCGATCTGACAATGTGTAGGAGAGAACTTTGTTGTCAGTACCACATCATTGTGAGAGTATAAAGAACGAATCACTCGAAGGGGACTGGCTTCTTTGGGCAAACAGTCAACAAGTTCACTACACTGTTTGTCAAATCCCAACAAGCGGATCCCGTAGCCATGTGGGGAAGAAATCATTCGCCCGTCGGGGCTGAAGCAAAGTTCTTTGATATAACCCCTGCCTACATTGGCTTCTTCGATGTAATGAGTCAGTCGTAGTGAACAGCGAGGTGACACAGGTCGCACAGGAGCTCCTTCTTGGAATTCATAGACACAAGTCCACTAGGGAAAGAGAAGGGAGACAAAAGGTTAGACGGCTCCAAATAGCACTAAAGAAATTCCTTGTGTTTAAAAGGTTCAATAGAATGCCAAAGTCACAGAATTGTTGCAAGATAAAATTCAGATGAATGTGACCCCATCCCAACAACAAAATGTATAGGCCGCACATATGCTTGTCTTTATAAGCTGAAGTTATTATGTGCCAGGAGTCCTGGTGTGGCGCTCTAGGATAAGCAGTTCAAACCCACCAGCATCTCCTTGGAAACACTCTACAGCATTGTTATGAGTCAAAACCAACTCGATGGCACTTAACAACATTCTAAGGTGCTTTGAAGGCTTTTGTTCCCTGAGGCTGTCCTGTGACTTGTGCAACAATGTAATATCATTCACTTTTATAAAGGCAAAAACGATCTTGATATTTTTAAAATTCTACAAGGTCAGCAGTTCAAACCCACCAGCAATTCTGAGAAACCTTATACAGGGTCTCTGAGTCAAACTGACTCAATGGCACACAACAACACAACAGGGGCCATCCAAGCCCTAGAGTACCTCTTCCTCCACATACTTCAAAGGCTCTTCTCTCCGTTCATTTATAATCTCTCAAGCCAGTGAGAAGGAACCCTGGTAGCGTACTGGATTATGAGCTGGGCTGCTAACATCAAGGTCAGCAGTTTGAATTGACTCCTCAGGAGAAAGATGAGACTTTTTGCTCCCATAAAGATTTACAGCCTTGGAAACCCTCTATAGAGTCACTATGACTCAAACTGACTCAATGGCACATAACCACCAAGCAGATCCAGTGAGGTCCTCAGAAGACTCCTGCTTTCCAAAGTGATGAGTGTAGCCATTTAATATTTTGTTCCCTCCTCATCAGTTTAATCCATGCCTTCTCCAAAGCTTTCCTCTGGAGTTTTAAAAAGAGAAAATTAAAATATTCAATTGGCTTAGCAAAATCTGATCTTTACCAGTTTAATGGGAACATCTCAGCCCTATGTTTACTGCATAAGGTTTTTTTTAAATGTTTTATTGTGAATTATGTGATAGTTTACATGGGAGAACATTACATAAGGATTTTTTAGGCAAGATGAAGGAGGTAGGTAGAATCTGAGCTGATGATGCCTTTAAATCACCTCCCAGCTTGTCCCTCAGATGCAGGAGTGGGGAAAGAAGAGTCTGCAAGGAATAAAGACAACAGGCAGGCAAGTTAAGACACAGGAACTTGGTTGTGTCCTCGAGGACCGGGCCTCTGTCCAGTGAGCACTCTAAGATCTGCATACAAGATAATGGCAATCTCGCCACTCAATTTGATTGAAGTTGCAAGTCTGCTGCTCATACCTCCTGGTCATCAGTGTTGCTAGAGCACCGAAGAAGAGTGGCCCATCCTTTTGGGTGCAGCTGTAAGGATGTGATACAGTTTCCACGGTCTCGCTCTCCAGGAACTTCAGGTGTTAAGACTTCAAGACTATTTCGTGGTGAAACTCCTAAGATAAAAGAAAATGAAGATGTGAGACTTACACCATCAAGGACTAAGATACTTGCATTACATTATAAAATAGACACTGGAAGGTGAGAGAAAGGAAAAGCCAGAAATATCACCATAGAAAGCTTGTAAGTCTGTCTTCTGCATATAATTGATTGGAATACCTAAAATGGGGATACAACGTGCCCAGTGAAGGAGGCTACCTGCAGAGCCTCTGCATTACATAAGACTATGGGTGAAATCCTGAACAGCATCCAGAATCTTCAGAGGTGGGAAATTTCCCCCTGAGAGGATGGGCAGACCAGCTTTGAGTGGCTAGAACAGAAGATACCTCTTGAAAGAAAGACTGACAGGAAAAATACAAAACAATAGAGGCAGACCGACCAATTACTATAAGAACAAGCAAGTTGCCTGCCCAGAAGACATCAAAGCAAGGGGTCAGAGTAAGACGAAGACTCAATGGGAATACACACTCTGATGGGTGACCACGTTCACCACCGACAAGGGGAAGTGAGGGAAAAACAGCTATGAGGCTGCGAGCTAAGCCCTACAATGATCAATAGACTCCTGTGAACCCAGGTGGAGACCTACTTGGCCAGCAGTGTGGCAAGACCTGGGGACTCTTGGGCCCAGAATCAGTGACATAGCCATGGAGGACTAGAGTGGAGAGTGAAGTGTCCAATGGATAAGAAGAGAGGGCATATTCACAAGAGCACCCACACTTGCAGATAATACCCAATTGACCTAGCCTCAATGACTGGGTGATCAGAGCTCAACTAGAAGAAGAAAGAAGAGGAAATAAAGAGTAATCTGATACAATTTGATGAACTTGACCTACACCTATGGATACAGCAACTCAACAGAGGGAACAAATCTTTACAGCAAGGATCATTCCCACCCCCTCCATACACAGAGTGGACAGGGATGGGCAACTTGGACATTGGCTATCCAAAATGGGGGAGGGGGGGGCGAGGGCACAAAGGCAAGAAGTGACTGGCTTATAAGCTTTCAAGAGGGAACCTAGATCCAGAGGGCATGGAGGAAGGTAGAATCTCCACTGAGTAGTATCCAACCTGTTTAGGCGGGACTGATGAAAGGCGATGCGGATAGGTCTCTTGTGATACAAGGGTGAATAATTGTTACCAGGACTGATTGTGAAGGCTGTAAATGTAAAAGTGGGCATTTTGTGGCAAGGAGGAGAGTGATTAACTTTGCAGGCTAGGAGCGGAAGTCCCTGGAACTATGAAGGGAGAAGAGCGGAGAGCGGAACCCTACCCAGAGATGGAGGCAGAGATGATGACATGGAGAGATGGAGCAGCTGGGGACTCAGGACCCAGGGAGGGAGAGGGGCTGTGTGCTGACAACCGGGGAGGAGAGGGGGGGCGGGAGGGAGGGAAGGGGGGCAGGCTTATAAGATGTACCCTTTTGTTGATTGGTAATGCATGGAGGGGATTGTAACCATGGCAATGAAACAACATATGATAGGATGAATGTAAAACTGATGTTCTCCCATGTAAACTGTCACATAATTCACAATAAAACTTTTAAAAAGAACAAAAGAGGGGAAGGGGTGAGGAGAAGAGGTTAAATAAAAAAGAAAAAAAATGCAGAAAGAATAAATTTCAAGGGAATGGAAAGAGAGGCAGAAGAAAGAAGAAACAAACAAAAACAATGAAACAGTAGAAGGAAAACAAACAAACCCCTAAGCCAAAAAAAAAAAAAAAAAGACTAAGATAATTCACCAAAGCTTTGATTTCTGGTAACCACCTCTCATGCCTTCATTCCTTATGATACCAGCACATGTAAAATACAATGCCTCTCTCGGTGTCTTTGGGGTAGGTAAGAGCATGGGAAAAGTGTAGGACTAGAACTAAAGCCCCTACAGCAAAAATTCCAGTGACCTCAGGCTAAAGCATGAATGGTGATTAATGCTCCTTTTGATTTGGTCTGCATCTCAGAAAGTTCTTTTTTCTTCAGGAAAGAAACAATGTTACATAACATAAAAAGGAATCTAGAAAGGAAAAGATACTATTCTTACTCCAGAAGACCTGGTTGCTCTCTAGTCCCGAGAAGCCATGAGAATTATTGGCTATTATGTATGCAAGGTGCAAGGGGCAGGACTTGTTATGCTCCTATGGGCAAATAAGCCTGTGGCATTGTGTGTGTATTGCGGGGGAGAGGGGTCATTCTCACATAAATGCATGCCAAAACAAGGGCCGGCAAACATGTTCCTGGCAACTGCAACCCCCTACAATTTCCTTCTGCCTAGCTCCCAATGAAAATGATTGCTGTAATCAGTCACTATTAATAATGGAAGTATGTCATACAGCTCAGGTGTATGTACACATTGTAAAGAAGCAGCTTAGAAATTCACTATCAAGAAATTCACAAAAACATTTCCTATGGAAGGAGTTGCTTTGAAAGTTGAATTGCCTCTGTCAGACCCTTTGTGAATTGTTTTTCTGGAATCTGTACTGTCTTCCTTTTTAAAGAAAGATTCCCTTTAGATTACTGATACATTGACAGAAACCATGAAGCTTTAAATTACATTGTTACAACTCAATCTATATCTAAATTATAATTTCATATGTAATTGAACTTTAACAATTTTAGAAAAAAACACACACAAAAAAAACCCCTACTTCAAGAATTGTGAGTCCTGGGGTATGGATAAGCACTGGACTGCTAACAAGGCTGGCAATTCATACCCACCAGTTGCTCCTTGAAAGTCCTATATGGTCACTATGAGTGGGGACCAACTCAACAGTACTTAACAACAACAACACCTCAAGAATTAGTTTTGAAATAGTGAATAATTGTTATCAGGACTGTTTGTGAGGGTCGGAATGTAAAGTAGATGTTTTATAAGCAAGGAGGGGAGTGATTAACTTTTCAGTCTAGGAGCGGAGGTCCCTAGGACCATCAAGGGAGAAGAGCAGAGAGTGGGACCCTACCCAGAGAAGTAGTGATGCCTGAAATGGAGCCAGAGATGATGACGTGGAGCGATGGAGCAGCTGGAGACTTTAGATCCAGAAAGGGAGAGTGACTGTGTGCTGAAGACCTGGGGGGTACGGGGGAAGGATTGCATGGAGGGGATTGTAACCATGGCAATGACATGATAAACGATAGAATGAACGTAAAACTAATGTTCTCCCATGTAAACTATCACATAATTCACAATAAAACATTAAAAAAAAAAAAAAGAATTAGTTTTGAAAGTATATAGTAAAAGCAAGGAAAAAACCAAAATTATTTTAACCAAGATGGGACAAGTGTGATGATGGAGTTGGAAATAGTGAGGGTCAAAGGTCTCCCAAATTTCACTTGAACTAGAGCAGCTCCTTTCTTATTTGTGCTGAATCCCTAATAATCCATGAGATTTCACTTCAAAAAATGAAGTTCTAATTCTTAAATGAGGTCTAATACTTGCAAAAGGATGGTGCTGACATACTCTGGTCCCTGAAGACCTGGGCCTTCCAACAGTCATAGCAATTTCATCTACAAACCCACGTCCCGACCTTCTCCTTCTTTCCACCCTCTAATTTTCTTCTTTTCTCTGTCCAACCACACATCATCTCTTCCCCATTTCCAACTGTCTATATACCTTAAAACTGTTGTATATTTGTGTTTACCATTGGTCAATAACAAACAAGCATGTTAACTATTCTTGTCTTCTTAAATTAAGTAAGTTTATTTTTCAAGTGTCAATCAATAAAGATTTTTCTTAATGATTATTAGGAGCCCTTGCTTGTTTTCCAAGGTCAAAGTAGAAGGTTATGAACCTGCAAAAGAGGTTTCTGCTGCAAGTCAAAGGAGAAATGTTAAACTTCAAGGCATAAATCTTAATAATTAAGGGGCAGTTTTTAACCTCAAAGTGAAAGAAACATCACAGCCTTCAACATCCAGAGGAAAATACTAAGTCATAAATGAAAAGGGACTCTCAAATTATTCTACTAGCATTAAGTAGTCATGCAAAACAACCAGTTATGCACCTATCAAATGAGGCCATCCAAAGAACAAACAAATTAGAAGTCCTTATGAAAGAGTCCCTGGCAAAAGCTTAGGAAATGTAGGAGGAAGTAAATTTATGTTAATCGGACAGGAACAATTAATAAAAGGTGCATGAGAATGGTTACACAACTTGAAAAACCTGGTCCAGGCCTGTATGTGCAGAAATAGTTGAACTGGTGTTATGTTCTGCTGTGCATAATCTCAACAACAAAAAACAAATAAATGGTAAAAGAGAAAAAAGAAATAGTCCCTGCCAGAACTACTGAGGAAGGAGACATGATGAAATGTGATTCAAAATAACAAAAATACATACTGGCGAGAACAAACAAGATGGCGGATCGTGTGGATGTGTAGCAAAGAGCTCTGCCAACAATACCGCCAACAGAATACCCGACCAAGCTGGCTCAGGGGATGGTCCCAGAACTCTGAACCACATATAAAGGAATATTTACAAGGTTGGAAGGCTTACAGCTGGGGGAATTTGTGGGGGGAATTTGTGGCAGAAGCAAGAAACCCATTGCTTTTGAGTTCGGGACACTCAGCTACTCCAGGAGCTGCCATCTTGGGTGAGACCACGTGGGGGAAGGATCGGAGCGGCCACACACACACCTGGCAGAACCGCTGAGTTAAAGGTGTGGACATTATTTTCTTTTGGTATCTGTTCATTGGTCCTTTGCTGTCTGTGCACCTCCATTCTGGTGACTATAGGGGTAACTGAGTTAGTGGGCACCCTAGCCCCACCCTTGGAGGGTTATACTACGCATGCGCACAGATCGCCTCGAAATTTAAAGAGACAAGTTTCCAATTAAAACCAAATGGCCACAGCCAGCCCTGAACTGTTTCAAACTAGAAAAAAGGCCTTGAGTGGGGATTGTGGAGTGGGACAAGCAGACAAAAGAGGAAATAGGCCAAAAATTAAATCCTAAATTATGTCAAAACGACCAACAGTGTTATCTTGAAATTTTTCAGGAAGAAGAGTGAAAAGGGAAGCCCATTTCCTGATTACATCTACCGGGAGGCATTAAGAAAGCATAAAAAATTACCAAAATACATACCCATCTAAGTATTAAGTCCACAGATAACCCTTGAAGATGCCCAAAAAACAGAAGCATATGACCACATCTGTACATGTTCAGAAACGAGATAGTGACTGAGGTAAATGAGCTGGAAGTAGACCTACACTCTATACTAGAAGATGGGTAGGCTTTGGAAATGCCGGAGAAGGAATTCAGAAAAAGGATTATAAAATATATCAAAACACTATACAACGGAGTTGAGAAAAATAAGGAAGAAGTCAGGAAAGTGCTACAGGAACAATCAAATAAGATA